GGCTCAGGTCATGATCCCAGGGTCCTGGGATCGAGCCCCGCATCGGGCTCCCTGCTCCGCGGAAAGCCTGCTTCCCCCACTCCCACTCCCTCTGCTTGTGTTCCCTCTCTCGCTGTGTCTCTCTCTGTCAAATAAATAAATAAAATCTTAAAAAAATATGTATATATATAAATATCCAGTTGTGACCAATACTGAAAACTCCTGCTTGTTTTGCACCTCTTTTCTCCCCAAAAACAAAGCAAAAGGAAGAAAAAAACAACCAAACATAACGACAAAAATGACAAGCATCCACCTCTTTCTTGTAGCCTCGGAATGCCTACCTGAAGGAACAAGGTCATCCTCCAGAGCTCCTGAAGACAGAGGCTTGTCTGCAACATGCCCTTCAGGGAACACTCCAGCCAGACTTTGCAGGGCCTTCAGTCCAGGTCCACAGTAACTGTCCCCACCACCATCTTAAAGGCAAGAATGGGGAGGGGAGGAAGGTGTGCATCACCTTTCTCTCTAAAGTCTGCTGCTGGTAGTGACACGGCTTTTGGACATTCTCCACGTTTGCAAAGTATGAGAACACATGTGCTGCAGTCTGCTGTTCCAGCACCCACCTCACCAGTATGGTCTCACTGAAGTCACTGCCATCTCGTTACTAGAAGCTCTGCATCAGCTCTGAGGGCACTGGCCCCTGCAACGGGAGCAAGACCCACCAGGGAGCACGACAGCCTTCCTGCTTCCTGTCTTTCAGAGCGTCTTCTTATCCTAGGAGCCCCAATGATAAGATTTCGCCTTTCCTGACCAGGATTACTCCGTGGTAATTCAAAGCCAGGCTAGAAGAAGTTAGCTCAGTGGCAGGCACATCCCACATCCATAAAGGGGTCTGTCAGGGCCTAGTGACTTCACACCTATTTTAGTAGAAAGGCATTTGTGCAAGCCCTTCCAAATATGGCATTTAACTCTCCACCTCTCTCCATACCCCCACTAATTTGCCCCTTTGGCTTCCTCAATTGGTTTCTATTAAAAGCCACAGGCTCCAGAGACTTCCTCAAGCTCTCCTTGTAGATGGCAGACAACTTCATCCTCACTCCTTACAATTGACAGCCTCTGTCCCACACTGGAAAAACATTTCATGAAAGATAAAGTCTTCCATGGGCTGATCTCTTGAGTCCCTGGGGCTTCCCAAAATACGCAATATAAAAATACTATTCCCAGTTCAATATAAAGCTATGGATGGTATTTCAAAGAAGATAATTATAATAAAAAATAAGTAACAAAAATGGTTAGGGGCAGAAGGGCTTTTCCCATAAAATTTTAAATTAAGATAAAGATTTGGTCGGGAAAGGTTCAGAAGTACCAGAAAAGAAAATGAGAAACAAAGGCAAAGAAAGTGTTAAAATAATTCAGTCATTTTTAAGCAGTTTTCCTGATGTTATTCAAAAATATCTGTATTAGCATGGTAAAAGTGCAGAATTTAAATATTATGATAAGGTGAAATTAAGTCAACCAGAAAACCAGTGGAGGAAGGCGGTGAGAGAAATACTTAACTCTGTTAATGTTAACCCATCAATCAACTATAATGTTCTCAGATTCCCTGGTGCATGTGACACTTACCAGGCACCAGAGAAGTACCAGTAGGACATGGCCTAGGTCTTCAAGTATCTTCAAATCAGAGGAAACTTGGCATTTCACATGTGAATTGTGGTTTGGCCCACTTGGACCACGTTTATCAACAACAGAACTAACAGAAATTTCCTAATTATCTGAAATAAGCACCTTTTCACTTCTAAACAATCTACTTAAAACACGGTTATGTAAACTGAGAAACACCCAGTTCTTCCACAAAAACAGAAGACAAAAATAATGCATTTGATGGTTGAAAGACCTCAATGTGAGACAGGAGTCCATCAAAATCCTAAAGGAGAACACAGGCAGCAACCTCTTCGACCTCAGCCGCAG